TCACTAAAGGTCAAACTCTCAAAGACGCCGGTGTTGTAAAGTCTGTCACGAATGTCTGTCATTTGTTCAGGGGCTTGTTTTTAGCTGGCCGATGAGGCACACGTTGAAAAAGTTGAAAAGTTATGGTTGCAATCTTTTGCAAATCAAGTTTTGTATAGTAAATAATTAAAGATCTGTAGAGTCCAGTGGTGAATGATGACTATTAGAACTAGGCCTTCAGTTTGGGCCACAAACATCAAATCTGAGAATAAACACCAATTTTTTTGTGCAAATTCTAGATAAAACACTTGCATTTGAAATTTGTCAAAGACATCAACATATATTTAACCTTGCATGTAGCAGTTCTACAGTTAATTCTCAGTAAAGAGCCCTGGCATAGAGCTGCAGCTACTGTTTTCTTTTTCTAACAGCTAACTGACAGGTTAGACTACAACTCATTGACTCAGGTTGGACTTCCAGACCTCTTACGAAAATTGCTCCCACCCATTAAAAACAAAATGTGACCGGTTGATTCCACTGTCACTTTCTAACTATATTAGTAATCTTATATGTAAGGCCTTCAGTTCAGCTCCTTAAGGCCTAACCACTGGGTGAGCACATTGGCTGTAGTTACCAGTGTACCACAGTGCAGTTTTCCACTGGGCGTTTCAAGATCTTAGCCCTGCTTGTTCATAGAAGACCCTGATAGTTTCCCTGCTGGTAGATTCAAAACACAAACACATGAAAATGTATATTATACATCCCTAATTGCAGCACTTTGTCTCTATATTTCTGTACCCTACTATTTGTCCAGTTGAAGACCACATTGGTTTTCCAGCCAAATATCTTTTAAGAGCTGCAGGGATGAAAATTCAAAATGTCAAAATGTTCAAAACTACTGATCAGTGACTTGCTCCACAGCTCAGCACAGCATGTCTCATCAGTGTAAGCTGATTCATTTCTTCTATTATTGAAGCAAATGGTCCATTCAGGCGGGCAGGTTTTCTTAATGCTGACCTCCAGAAGAAGCCGCACAGCCTTTTGCTTATGTTATTTTAAAGAAAAACAACTTGCGTATTCACTTTGAGCAGTGGGAATGGCGGTGCAGTCAGGCTTTTAAAAATGGATCAGCAGCAGCCAGCGTAGCCTCAGAGGCTGAAAAACACTCTCTGCATTTCAATCGAGCTGGACAGCCTGCAGTCCGCTCTGGGAGAGCCACACATAGTCAAGGGGGCCGCTGCTGGAAAATCTCTCGAGCGTTTCTGCCTAACTGCTTCGGTCAAGACGAGGAAGAGGGGGAGGAGGAGGACGAGGAGGCTTTTCTGAAGAGGGTTTTTGTATATATGGGGGCTGTTCATTAGGGAAGGCACTCAGCACTGTTTGTGGAGCGTGATGTCGTCCTAGCTGGAAAGGTAAATTGATGCGCGTTGGAGGAGGAGGCGTGCAAATCCTGCGTGTTTTATGGACTGCAGCATTCAGATAGCACAAGATGTGATGAGAGAGATTCACTCTGCAAGGACAGCGAGGATGCGAGCAATGTTGCTTAGAGAGAGAGAGAGAGAGAGAGAGACTGTGAAGGGACTCCATGTTACTGTAGAGGACAGGAGAGGAGGGTGCTGTAAATTATACAGCGCTGTGTTAACCCCTTATTATTTAGTTATCCTCTTAGTTGTGTAACTTAAAGTAGTTACAGGCCACTTATGATCATAGCATGGGTTTCTTAATGTCTGCCAGTGCTTATGGTACAATGGTAAGTACTGGACAAAATGTTCAAGGTCAGTGTGCTGGAGTAGCCCAGTCCTGCACATTATAGTGCTTTCCCTGCTCTAACACATCCACTGCAACTTATTAAGGGCATGTTAATAGCTAATTAGTTGGAAAAGGTGTATTAAAACAGGAAAAAACAGCAGAATATGCAGTCTAGGGGTACTTTAGGAACAAATGTACAAGCATATATGAAAAAATATCTGTAGACAGGCCTGTCATGGTTATTACATCATTGCATTAATGCAATTAATTTGAACTGACCTCAGTTATTTTCCACAGTTGTGAGCCTTCACAATATGTTTATGTTGCATCAAATAGCATGTGAGTTGGATGCATTTTCATTAGTTGAGTTGAGGCAATGGCATATAAATAAAAAAAGCAAAAAACATATTTATTGGGTTCCTTAAAACCACAAATGTTCTAAGTTCTATCACAGGGGGCCTGTCCGCAAAGCAAGTTCAACAGAGACAGGGTTTATTCACAAAACCTAACAAATGAAACCCTGGTTAACTCGTTTTACAAAGACAGTTAACAGCTTTCTCTGTTAAATCAGGTGTAGGTGCTAAGTAAATATGTAGAAAGTAAAGCATTTATAACAGTAAAAACCAATGCTGACAGTGCTTATTGGTGTAATAATTGCTTTATACTATTAATATCTATGTAGTATGACTTGCTTTCTCTGCTAAAAGCAGTATTGTTCATGTGATCGATGCCACAAATGTGCGAAGAGAAAAATAAAGTGACCAGAGTGGTCCACCTTTGTTGTCCCTGATGGTCAGAAGCTTTCCCTGATTGGTCCAAGAGCTGTTTATGATCCAAAATCCCAAACTTAACCTGCTCTGGATCAGGTTAGGTGTACAGTTTAAGCTGTCATGGCAATGTATCCTGGTAAAAAGTGATCCACCGTTGTAAGAGAAAATCCACAATGGATCAAGCTGAGCTGAAAGTTAACTGGCTAAGCTATAAATCCTGCTTCATGAGACAGAACCCTGGGCAGCCTTGTGTAATGAGCCTCATTTCCCAACCATTCTTAAGAAGAAATTTCTTCCTAAAACCCACTTAAAAACATTCTGACATTCGCCAATGTTTTTCTTATTTGGGATTTGTTCTGAGGTAAGAACAAAATCTACACACACTCGAGCACAAAGGTGTGAACAGTTCCGCAGTTTAAGAACACATCATGAATCTTAGGACCTTAATCAAGAACAGATTTAAGAAAAAACTTAAGTAAGTTATTGGTGAAAGAGGCCCTAAATGTTTGTATATTTGAGCTGTCATCGGCTGGGAGGTACTAAGTATTGACAGCTAGGATGTCGGACTAAAAGATGAATAATTTTTATATTGAAGTTGCAATTTGAAAGAGGGCAATTTTCAGACCACAAAAGCTGCAGTTTTAATTATAGCCTATATTATTAACTACATTGTCAAGTTTTAAGTGAGAAAGTTTAACTTTAAAAGTTTTGATACTTTATTAGTTGCATAATGGACGAAAAAAACAGTCAAAATGCTTGTAGATAAGTTATATCAGTGGTTCTCAAACCAATCCACAGGGGCCACCAGACAGTGCAGATTTTTGCTCCAGCCTAACTTACAACACAACGAGAGAGCACAAATCAGGACTGTCTGGTGGTCCCTGAGGACTGGTTTGGGAACCACTGAGTTAGACCAGTCTGAAGCAACCAAACAGGTGTTGAGTACATGACAACACAACCACAACTAAATGGCAGTCTAGCACACTACATTCAGCATTCAAGCCTGAGGCCAGAAAAAGGGGATCTGTCTTCTTGGTCAAAAATGCAGGCCATGACTTTAATTTCTAGAAAATGATTGCAAATTAAGTTCACAATACTGGTCAGAAAAATTGCAATTAGATATTTTCCCAAAACCATTCAGCCCTAATAGTATGTAAGATAACTAATCAGCCAATTTGAACACTTAAGGATTTAGGATACTTTGTTAGTTGGACAAAAAAAGACAAAAAGACAGTCAAAATGGTTAGTAGTTATTTATGTGGCAATTAATTGTCAACATTATGACAGACCTATTTATAATATTATTTTGCATCAGACCAAAAGAGCCAATTTTATAAAATGGAACGTGTCTTTCTTAAAATATTAATTCAGCGAACAACAGTGCAGTGTGACCATGTAAACATCAGGTGTTAAAAGGCCATTACCTCCTTTAATGAACTCACCTCAGGGCCACATTCGGTAGTAAAATGTTGCTTAACATTGCAGACAGTAATGACATCAGTCTTATATAATCAATGACTAAGTCCGCTCTGTGTATCTGTTACAGTGTAGGTCTGTAATATCTCAAGCTTTTAAACCTGCTGCGGCTAATTAGATTCAGCTGTTGGAACGCAGATTTGGACCAGCTTAGCAAATCTGACTTTTGGTGTTACCTCAAGGGAGCAAACTTGGCATCACACCGTGTTCTGCAGTGCCTGGAAGAATAGAAAAACTAAGAACAAGACTGTTATAAAACTATAAAAAGTTGATGCGAGTCTAGAAATGGTTCCAAAGGCTTTTTGTTCCACTAGACTACAGAGACATTCTGCAAAAAATGTAGAAGATTTAGGACCATAGTGGAAGCTCAGAAAGGTAGAGCATCTGTTTGGTTTTGAAACTGTTACTGAACAAATGGGGCATTGAGTATTGCATTACATTTCATTTATGAAGTAGTAAAATGTTGCCAGTTGATCTTTATGGTTACCATTTAAGGATTTTGTTAAGGTTTTGGCATTTAAAATCATAAAATATTAGAAGGAAGTTAGGAAAAAAATAAATAGGTTACCCACCTTGTACAAAAAGACTTATGAAGTGCTGGATTCATAAAAACAATTACGAGTACAGAGAAAAACAGACAACAAGAGTGTAATTAAAAGCATCTGTGCTGTGTTGAAACTATTAAACAAAAATGCAATGAAGTTATGGTGGTGCTGTCTGATCTGAGAAAATATGAGGGGTAAATTGTTTTCCACCGTCATGTTGGTGAGTACGACGATTGCTCTGTGTTGAATCGTCACCTCGCATAGAGATGAGGCGTCTGTGGAAAGAAAGGATGGACAGCAGGTCGTGACCCAAGCCTTCTGCTTTCTGCTGCTAGGCGATTGCCTCGTGACTTGCTGCTCTTGGCTGCCATTTCAGCATTAGTCAAGCTGACCCCTGCTGGAAAGATGTTGTTTGTCAAAGTGACACGCTGTTGCAGTTGGATGATGAGGAACTGTTTGTCTCTCTCTTTCTCTCTCTAAGCGGTGAGGATGCTGTATTGGGCTGATTTCTAAGCAGCATGGAGGAGGCTGCCAGCCAGCTGGAGAGGGACCATGTTCACAGCGTCTATGAGAGGATTGCGCCCTTCTTTAACGACAGCCGCTACAAGGCCTGGCCCAGAGTCAAGCAGTTCCTGCTGGAGCAGAAACCAGGCAGTATCGTGGCTGATGTGGGTAAGGTGCCACGTTCTACCTAGAATAGAATAGAAATAGAAAGAGAAATAAAAGAATTATAACTAATGTGGGTGAAATGCTATGTTACCTGCAATAGAATAGAATAGAATAGTCTTAGCTGATGTTGGTGAGGTTTTCTTGGGGTCATAGTCAAAAAACCGTGTATCTCCAAACTGGTACCTAATGTAAGAAAAAACTCTCTGCTATTTACAAATATATTAAACAAGGGATAATCTGAAAAGAATATATATATATAATTACACCATGTGCATTGGTTCATGGATTATGAAATGTAATGGAGGTAGTATCGTGGCTGGTGTGGGTAAGGTGCCACATTCTACCAACAACAGAATAGAATAGAATAATTGTAACTATGGCGGGTGGTCTGCCATGTTACCTGAAATAGAATAGAATAGAAAAGTCTTAGCTGATGTTGGTGAGGTTTTCTTGGGCTCATTGCCATAAAACCTTGTATCTCCAAAGTGGTACACTTTTAAAGGATTTTGATAAGGGAAAAAAAATCTTGACTTGTTAGTTAATGTCACAAGATTTGAGTCATTTTGGACCATGCCTCTTCGTTCATTCATCATGAAATGTAATGGAGGTTGAAAAAATGTGTGTTTGGAAACAGCAGTAGTATGTAGGCCAAACTGTGATTCACTGTCTCTTCTCTTCCAAAGTTACTTGCTTAAGCAGTATTGGTCTTTTTTTCCTCTGTGACATAATTTATAATTTTTTTCTTCCTGGCTGGTTCTATTTGAGTCCTCTTCAAACTCCTATAGTTTTATGCAAATGTTTTGGCACCCCTGGCCAAACTCAAAAGCAGTAAAGTCATCTGCCAAGACCAGGAAAACTCTCAGAACTGCTCATATGCTGGCCAGAAAGGTAAAGCAAAACCCCCATAGCTGACACACCATCATTCTACTCTGGAGTGTTGCTCGTACAAACATGATCTGCATGGAAGAGTCATCAGAAGGAAGCCTTACCTGCTGCCTCATACCGAAAGTCTGAAGTATGCAAAATAATGTCTAGATAGGCCAGAGGCATTTTGGAAACAAGTGTTGTGGTCTGATAAAGTAACAGTGGAACTCTTTGGCTAAAGGTATGTTTGGAGAATAAAAGGAGCAACACTTGATGAAAAGAACACCTTGTTAACTGTTAAGCATGGGGCTGGGACTGTTATTCTTTGGGGCTGTGTGGCAGCCAGTGGCACAGGAAGTGGACTCAATAACAGCAAATCCTGAAAGCAAATGTGACACAGTCAGTCAAGAAACATCACTGAAAATCTGTGAGTCATCTTACATATGCTGTGCATGGATCATGGCCCATGAAAGTGACAGTACAAGAAGCATTATGCAAGGAAGAGTGGGTGAAATTTCCTAAAACACGAATAGAAAGACTTCTAGCTGGCTATAAAAACAATATGCTGTGGTATCTGCAAAAGAGGGTGATACTAAATACTGAATTAGTAAACATAAAGTAATGTTGCATTAACATTTGCAAGAAAAAAAGATTTTATTTTTAATGGTTGGAGGGATGGGGAGAGGGCAATCTATTGCATACAGCTGTATCTGAAGAATAATACTTCTGACAGCATTTCCATTGTGTTGTCTCCTTACCTTTGAAAAATATTCTGCACTCATGTAATGACCGAGTTCCTCCCTTAGGTTGCTTTTTTTCTGAAATGAAATCCAATTTTTCAGCTCATAAAACATAATGAGAACGACTGAATTACAACAGAGTAATCAAAACGTGGGGTGCCTCACAGTGTAGAAAAATGAGACTGAGGAGTAATTCTAGGGCGTATCTTCAGGAGTCTTTTGGCAAAATGTAATTTTGTTCCTTGTTATTTTATTATATTTGAGCTGTAGTGGCGTTGCACACAGGCACTTACTGCAATAAGGAAAACGGCAGAGTCACAGATAAATGATTAAGCAGATATAAATGACTAATAACAGAAAAAGGAAAAGCAGATAGCAAATTAAAAGGTAATATAACAGAGAAAATGAAGGAGGGAGAGAGGAGAGATAATGAGAGAGAAAAGGAGAGCAAGAGAGAAAAGAACGAAAGTAAAGAAAGAAGGAGAGAGAAAAGGAGAATTAGAGAGAGAGAAAGAAAGAAAAGGAGAGAGTGAGTTGGAAGAGAAAAAAGCAAGAGAGAATGAGAGAAAAAAAGAGGGTGAGAAAGAAAGAAAATAGTGAACGAGAAAAATTAGAATGGAAAAAGTAGAGAACAAAGGATAGAGAACAGGAGAATCGGAGAGGGAGAAAGAAAGAGAAAAGGAGAGAGTGAGAGAAAGAGAGAAGGAAATCAGGAAGAGAAAAAGGCAAGAGAAAAGAAGAGAGGGTGAGAAAGAAAGAAAAAATGTAAAAAAGTACGAGAGAAAAGATAGAAGGAAAGAGAACCGAGAAAGAGGAGTAAGGAGAGAGAAAAAGAGACAGAAGAGCGGAAAGAGTAAGTGGGAAAAGGTGTTGGAGAAGATCAAGAAGAGAGAGCAAGATAGCAAAGCAGAAAGAACGAGGGAGAGAGAGAAATGGAGAATGAGGAAAATGAATAAAATGAGAAAGAAAAATGGGAAAGGGGAGAGAGAGAGAGAGAAGGTAGGGAGAGAGAGGAAGAAAAGACTCATGATAATTTCATGGGGCTGTAATCCTGATAACGTGTCTGTCATTGATCGTGTCCTGTATTATTTTGAGGTTAGAGCTTCTGGATGTGCAGATTGTAAATAATCATGTTTTCTGACACCACAGGATGCGGCAATGGCAAATACATGCACATCAACGACAGCATCTTTAAGCTGGGCTGTGACGTGTGCCGGCCGCTGGTGGACTCGGCCTGGAGTCAGGGTCATGAGGTCCAGCTGTGTGACGGCCTGCGGCTGCCCTACAGGGACGGCTGCTTCGACGCCGTGCTCTCAATTGCAGGTCAGCTCACTGTCCCTCACTGCTGCCTTTGTTTCCCGCCAAGTACTTACACGTTGGTATTATGGTGCCTAAGACATGGGTTCATTATGCATGCAGAATCCGGTCAAAAATGGTCATTTTCGTTAAATTTCCCCGCAATGTTAAACTAGAAAAGTGTGATTGCACAGTTTAAGCTTGTTAAGATGTCGCTAGATGGTTTCTGTGGAACCCCAGGTGGTAGCTAGGTTGTTAGTATTGTATCCCAGATGGTTGCTATGGTATCCCAAGTGGTTGCTACGATGTTTCTAGGCATTTGCTATGGTATCCCAGGTGGCTGCTGGTGGTTATGATATCCTACATGGTGAATAGGGTGTTACTACTGCACTTCTATAATCGTAATATAAGCCAAGTGCACAAACCTTTGGACCCTATTCAATCCTATGGGAATTAAATTGGTCATTTAACGACAACTGTACGAAAACCATATGTCAGACCAAAAGGCTGTATCAAGCACACCATTCCTGATCAGCCACAACATTCTGAAGTTGGAGTGGTGCTGATGTCTTGATAACTGCAGGACAAATTAGTGGACAAAAATTTGCCAAAATAACAATAATAAGAAGTATATACCACGGGATAACAGTAGTGATAATAGTATTAATGGTTAATATAATTTTTTCCCGCTTGCTGGTACAGAGTGATATAATCAAATCTCAGAAGATGCAGCTAAATGTCATTAAACTTTGATAGAAGATTATGGGAAAACAAGAACTTTGTCTTTTAAATGATACGATGAGTCATGCTTATATCATAGACAACTCAGTTTTCCTCACTTTTAATAATAGTTTAATGGAGTATGTAAAGATTTTTAAAGTTCCAAAACATTTTTTTCTTATTAGTCCATACAGTCCACATATAGAGACTAAGCTTCAAAAACAGCCTGTTTTGAAATCGTTGGTTTTGATGTCACAAAAACCAACGCCTTTACATATATCCACCTATACAGAGTTCCGCAGTTTACCTCCACCCATTCCCACTAAAGTTATGAAGGATGTTTCCGCACAATGCAGGACAGCCAACCAGAACAGAGCTCATTTACATATATCAGTCTTAACAGCACGGGTTAAAAACATAGCCTGTGTTTAATCCTAAGGGATAAAAACAAGGTTGGAAAATGTGGAAAATTTTTGGTACATAAATCCACACAAATACGTATAGAATATAGAAATATATGGAATATAGTAATGCAATAATTGTAATATTGCTTAGACATTGCAATGGAATGATTTCCCAACCAGGGTCAGTTTATATATATATATATATACATAAGAGAGGTAATCAGTGTTAAACATGACTCAAGTGAATTGTTAATGTATCAGACAGCCATCAACTCCAATATAGCTGTGAGGCCTCAGCCAGTTACTGAAAAACCATGTGTTTTCTGGATGTACCATCATGAGTTCATGGTCCATTTTCTGATAGCTCTGGATGAACTCTGCTAGCGCAGACCAGACCATTTCAATTCAATCTACAGGCTGTTCCGGTTATTAATCTGTACCAGTGCAGGTAATATAGTTTTATTAAAGCAAGATGTGGTGTGGAAAACAAGCTGTGTTACTAGGCTACAGGAGATTAGCAGTTCTCAGCGAGAGCCGGGCGGTGTGTGCTGTCAGCCTGTGTGTGTCTGGGTCACCTGGCAACCTGAGGTCACCCCTCTGGGACATGGTCATTGTGGCCATTCAACAATAAACAGGGTCATAATTATCTAGCAGCCAATGAAGAGGGGAGGAGAATGTGTAAGTATAGAAATGGTGCTCTTCTGCTGCCTTTTTAATGATAATTGTTTTAGTGTCCACATCATGGAAAACTGAATGTCCCTCGCTTTTTTATAAAAAAAAAAGTGTGATTTAGAAATTAAACCTTCAAAACATTCTGTGCACTTCACAGTCTATACAGTCCATATGAGGAAACTAAACTGCAAAAACAGCCCGTTTTGAAGTCTTGGTCTTTGTGTTGTCACAAAATCAGTGCATTCACATATATCTGCCTATTCAGCCTACAGTTGTTCAGACCCACCTAGACAAGTTGACGTTATAAGGAGTGTTTCAGCTCCTTATTGCTTTTTAAATGAGGCACAATTCAGGTCAGCCAGTCAGAGCAGAGGTCATTTACATATATCAGTCTCGAAGGCACAGTAACAGAAACAGCTGTTTAATTTTAAACGATAATGAGAGTTTGGAAAAATGGTCATAGAAATATGAATCATGACTATTTTCGGTGCATAAATCAAGACATGAGTGGGTCTTGGGGAAAGAATATAGGATATGGGCCCTTTTAAGAGATTTTACTTTTTAATATCACATATTTTATTATAATACATCAGAGTTATAATACAACCATATGTTCTAACCAGTAGTGGGTCGATAATGATGTAAGTCTTGATTTTGATGGTGTGCAGATCACCCACTGTTACGCATTATTAGGCAAGCATAGAGAACCTGTATCTTACATGCTGTAGCTCTTAATTCGAGCAGTGGGTGGCAGAGTGATCTCAGCAGTGAGGTTCCAGCCAACCGCAAGCCTCTGCTGGCTCAGTCTTCACAATTTCAGTGGAACTGCAAGCCAAGGAACTGAAGGAAGATTCTGCCAAACCAGGCATTGACTATGGTAACAAAGCGTGTTTGATGTGTGAGTCATTTGTTGCTTCTAACCTTGAAGAGCTGCTTTTTTTACAGCTGTATTTTAGCTGACATGAAAGTGTTTGGTTGCTTCTTAGCAGCAGCTGGGCTTCTCAGCACTTAAAACATTGCATCAGAATAGACTCTGCACACTGGTAATGTAACACCTTAATGTCTCATAACTTATGGTATTACAGTTTTATTTTACAGTTTTAAAGTTTTATGACCTTATTTTGCAATGATACTGACAAATATGACTTTTCTTAAAGGGATAGTTTCATCCTTTACCCTAAATTTTCCCCTCAGTTTTTCCTTTTATTTTTGCATTTGAACTATGAGGCTAATGTGGCCTAATGTACCCTACCAATTAGCATCCTGCGCACTACATGTCTGGAAACATAACCCATGGTGAGCTGATTAAAGGAGACATAGTTTGCTCTTTTTTCAGTTAAATATAATTATTATATATATGTAAAACAAATAATACCAAACCTTTGTTTGTGTTTTACTTTCTCATTTCCTCCTCAGTTTATGGGAAAAGTTCTGTTTATGGGAGCTGACTTTGTATGCTAATGACCAGTACACTCATTGGCTGTCTTAGTAGAGGGAGGGAGAGCAGGGGGAGTGTCATGTCTGAGAGCTCAGTAATGACTGCAGCAGAGTACAGTACATTGAGCCCATATTTTAAGCTTGTTTACACTGAGAGCCACATACAGGTGCTAAATTATGGGCATGTGCTAACAAAACAGGCCTATACACAGCAGAAGGCAGAAACCTTGTTATTCGCTCTGAAAGTAGCTTTTGTTTAATGTCTGCCACCATTAAATTGATAACACTAGCATGGTAATAGAGATTTCTATGTTATGTTAGCATCAAGCTAACAGTGGTTAATATTTGCATTTAATAGCTCTCTAGATTAAACACATATTAGAAGCTTGTAGCAGATATTTAAGTTACATTCCTAAGTTTTTAAAAACATTTGGATAAATGTGGACGGGGGTTTAAACTCAATGCCTGTTTCTAAATGTCACTGAAACCTTTTAGCTGTATGCTCAACTTTCCTTAGTAAGGACAGAATGGTGGTCCAAGTAGCCCAGACTAAGCCTGTTTACATCAACGAAACAGTCTGCTGAGTCAGTCACTAACACAGTTTAATGTTTGTGATGTGACATTTTGCACTGTTTCACAACGTCCTGTGCATCACTGAGGTCTGTGAGTGTATATTTGAAGTATGAAGCCTGAGTGAGTAGGTGTGGTTACTTAAAAGGGGCGCAATGTTTGCTCAATGTAATCAAGCAGCAAATCTTAACAGCCTATGGAATCACATGCTTTGTGTAAAAGGGAAATGATGGCAAAACAGCACATACTTCATAATTTCTTGAGTGTTGGATATAGTAAAAATAAATGTAAAATGGAAATGAAAATGCAGTTTTGTTATCTTTTATCTCCATAAATCTCAAAAAGACAAATAAATATGGTTTTAAACACTGCATTGTTAACTGTGCGGTGTACTTGTTAGCTACATTAGCCTTGTAGCTGTTGTACAAAACTGAAAAAGCAAAGAAACACCTAACAGATCTTGGCTGATCAACTGCGTTTTGCAGTAAAAGGGGACATTTGTGTAAATGTTATGTTTCCCCAGACTACCAAATGAAACGTTTATACCGCTTTAAATTTTTATTATGAATGTCCTTTCCTTTCCTAGTCATCCACCATATGTCGACTAAAGAGCGTCGGATCCGAGCGCTGAAGGAGATGGCGCGGACGCTGCGAGTCGGAGGCCGCATCATGATCTACGTGTGGGCTATGGAGCAGAAGAGGCGCAAGTTTGAGAAGCAGGACATCTTCGTCCCCTGGAACCCGAACCCTCCCCTGTCCCCGAGAGGGCCTGGGAGACGGAGGCGCCGGGGCAACGGAGCCCAAAGCGTTAGTGACGCACAAGACTCCAACGACAAGCACAGGAACGTGAAAAGCACATCCTCCATTGTGGATGAGGAAGATCCGGGCAGCCCTGGTCAGCAGAGGAAACAGAAGCTCTGGTTTTTCTCCAGGTCACTGGACTCCGTGCTGGACTTCAGCAGCCTGAGTGTTTCCCGCTCCTCCTCCAGGGAGCTCAGTGCTTTCTGTAGCCCCATTGGAGAAACTAGAGGTGGGCAATATGATCATATGTTACTGTTATTGTGCTTCTGATACTCTGTCACCGTCTCCTTCTCTGAGTATTTCATGGGTATCATCAGCACTTCTATAACACTGAACAACGACATGCATCATAAAAAAGACAGATTTAGAGCAATTATTAAGAGCCTGTAATCAACAACTAGTGTGATAAGTACATAAACTGCAAACATTCAGAAACATATCTGCTAACACTTTATTTGGTTTGACCACTGTAGATGCTTTATAGATGCTTATGTTGTACTTAACATACATAATATAACTAAATATATTTTAAATTCATCTTAATTTTCACTAAACCTAATCATTGACCTAACCCCAACCAAAGCTAATACTGGTCTACACCTTTGAAGTTCAGTCACAGAAGTTGGTTGCATTTTTTGCTTTACTTGATCCAGGTAATCCCAAATACAGTTAGTGCTGTTGAGATCTGGGGTGGCCAGTCCATTGTTCTGTATGTTAACTTCAACCCAAAATCTAAATCTTTTACCAGATTTATTAATCCAAACAAAAAGGAAGGACATCTTTTTAATTTGGCTTGTGTTGTATTTAAATTTATAATTCATACCAGTGTATCTAATTTATATATCTTTTCATCTTATTTTGCTTAATTTTATTTTGTTTTATTTTGTGCGGTTTTTTTTTTATTTTTAAAACCTACTATTTCATTGTAAAGCACAGTTAGCTGCTACATGTATGAAAAGTATGCAATTATTTTAAGCTATTATTATTATAGTAAAAAGAAGTTGACTGGTTGGCAGCCTGTTATGCCATCCGTATTTTATTAATTTATTTTTACCATTAAAAATATATTTATTTACTTTCTGCCAAAAGTAAAATTATTGTAAATAGACTCTTTTTAAATGTGTTTTTAGGTGAAACGGAGGCTGGTGACGGCACGCCGCTTTCCCGTGGCCGAGGGCTCATTAGGCAGGTGTCCAGCTTCTTCTGCTCCTCATCATCCAGGACCAGTCTAGAAGAGGATGTCTTCGTCTCCGACCCACAAGACCAGGCACATAAAGTGGACAGCAACAACACCAGGAACGGGAACGAAACAGTCGCCGTCGCGCTTGTCCAGGACTGTTCGTCCGTTCCGTTACCGGACTTGGTGTCATGTCAGAGGGAGCGAGCAGACAGTATAGGTCTTGAGGAGATGGACAGTGGAGAGCTTGGACAAGACGCACATGAGAGGCAGGAAAGCCCTGTGCCTCTTCAGCAGAATGAGGGGTGGAGCACAGAGAAGCTGAAAGAATCATGTCTGCGCTATTATCACGTCTTCAGGGAAGGAGAACTGACTCAGCTGATTGAGGAGCACGTAGAGGAGCTTCATGTTCTGCACACCTGCCTGGATCACGCCAACTGGTGCGTTGTGGCTGAGAAGGTCCAAGTGTGGAGAGTTTGAGTTTATTTATTCTGATATTTATTTACATTTTTTAAGTGTTTTTAGTTTTTTTAAATGTGTTTGGCTGGGATTTTAGTGTTTGAAGTGGCTGTCTATGAGAAGTGGTGTCGATTCTAAACCACTATAGCACAATGATTTGTTCCTAATATGGACTGGAACAGTATTGCTGAACTTCTAACAGGTTTTTTTCTCCTGCCAGCGGGCAAAGACGGGCTATAAAATAATAGTGATGTGATCTTTTTCAGGTCTGAGTAAAACAATGCATTTCTCTTGGTCTTAATTTTAATATTGTTGTATACAGTACTGTGCAAAAGTCAGAGACCACCCTTCTTTTATCTAATTTCCAGTTAGAAACGGCCATCAAGTGCAAGTTAATCATTTTTCAGCATCAGGAAATTACACCAGGTATTTAGTGTGTCCACTCTCTGCCTCTATTTTTAACTTCCATTCAGAGAAACCTGCGGGGATATTTTTCCACACCTCCCAAGTTCAGTCTTGGTATCATTTTCCGCTTCTTACAATCCACGTAATCCCAAACACATTCAGTGATGTTGGGGTCTGGACTCTGGAGTGGTCAGTCCATTGTTCTGAGAACACCAGCAGCTTCTTTGATTGATTTGCAAATGTTCTTTTTTTGTCTGTTTCCTTTTCTCAGTAAGAGCTTCCTTAACAGCTACACATCCTTTCAGACTCATAGTGTTGGTTGTCTTCTCACAGTGGAAGGATGGACAGAAACACCTGTGGATTTTTTCAGATCTGAAGCAAAACTGGAGCTTGATTTTCTCCTCTCTCTCAAAGATGAAAGCTTTAAGTGCTGTTTATCTGACTGAGCCAGTTTTTTGTGTCTACCAGGTCTTGCACAGTTGTTAGGAGTCACGTTTTCTCTGTGTTTTTGATCATTTTTGGAACCTCAGTTTAAGAAAATCCTGTTTTGACTTGTTTTACTTTGAGTTTCCTCTTCTTTATGTAAGTGGAATATCTTATCTAATCTTCAGAAAAATCTCTCCTGATAATTTGGTAAACTAAATTATTTAAATAAAAGGTGGTCTCTGACTTTTGCGCCATACTGTAAGTCTGTTATTTTGTTTTACTGTGTTTTATGGCAGTTTAAGAAATGTAATATTACTATGGCACTGATTTTCATGGCAATTTCATCACTATTAGCTGTCTTCAGCAATGCCTGTCTGAAACTGAGAACATTGCACATTTGTTGTACTGAACCAAACAACGCGAGCACATAACTAGCATTTATATAGTGAATGCATTCTCCTCAGGAGTTGATATTTTTGTGTGGTTGTTGTGTTTTGTGGTTTACGCTTAAGCTATAAACTGCTGTTGTTTTGTTGTTGTTATTATTGTTGTTGTTAGATGTTGAACCATTCACCTGAGGTGAACTGCTGATGGTCATGTTGCTGCTTGTGGGATCTCGGTAGTTTGCACATGAATTCCCATCTTCAAAACTTGAATAATTCTGTCTTGGCTGCTGTTGTTGATGGACGTTTTACATATTAATGCAGTTTGTGTGCGTCTACTCATTATGCTACGCCAAGGATCTTGTAATTTTCCTTTTTAAACTTGAGCCATGTTTCTCCTTCATTGAACTGTGCATTCTGACTGTTTGAACCCAATAAATAGGCTATATTTTATTCTCAGAAGTTCTGTAATCTTTTCACGCTCTGCTCTTGTACGTAGATCAAAAGGCATGGATTATTACAAGCTAACTAACACTCTGAGGTTCACATATGATTAATTTAGGACTTGGTTAAATAAAAACATTAAAATGAATCAGTTAAAATTATTTAATAAAAGGTACATCACATCCCAGTTTTTATTACTGAAAATAATAGTTTTTATCTGTTGAAATGTGATTTACTCTGCAAGTCATTGTAGTTAGAAGTTGAGCTTCAACAACGTACATTAAGAGTATTACTCAAGCGAACGTTCCTCTCAGTTTGCAGAACGTTTGTGAATAGACCACAGTCCAAATTTCCAGCAATCTTATGACCGAACACTGTGCCAGAGTTACGTGACGTATTCCTTCCAAACCTGTGGGGGGAAAATCAGGTTTGTTATAACATTACAGCTAAAATCTTCTGTATAGTTTTCATTATAACATAATTAAAACCTCTATATTCCTTAACATTATAACCATGAATCTGAAGTTTTCATTATAACATTTTAAATAGCTCAGCATAGGTGCTAACATTAAAAATTAATACCTCTGAATTAATGTTATAACTAAATGCCTCTATAGTTTCCATTCTAAAATTATAAATACGTTGGTATAGTTTATTATAACATTAAAAATACTTTTAATTTATTATAACATTAAAATCCTGTTACTATCAGTGCTGTTACTCTTCTGTATTGTTTTCCTTATCATTATAACTAAGTGCCTCTCTATGATGTTCATTATAATTATAAATACCTCTGTACAGTTTTCATTATAACAATATAACTAAATACCTCTATATAGTTTTCATTCTAATATTAGAACTAAATACCCCTTTACAGTTTTTATTATAATAACTTAATACCTCTGTATAAAGGTCCTTATTTAACTAAATAGCTCAGTAGGTTTTATTGTATTATAAATACCTCTATACAAAGCTTTACATTAGTTTTTTATTATAACATTAAAACTAAATAGCCCCATAGTTTTTCTTACACCGTCATAAATAAATGTCTCTTTATAATATAGTTTTTACGATAATAAAATTAAATATCTCTGTACAATTGTCCTTAAATATGACTAAATACAATTTTATATTAGAAATACGTATGTACAGTTTTCAATATAACACATCTAAATTCCCTTCTGTTATTTATTATATAATAAATAAATGCAGCATATTATTCATTATAACATTATCATTGAATACCACTACAAACCTCTGTATAATGTGGCTTACAAAACTATACATAAATACATTTGTAGTTTTCATTAAAACTGAATGCCTCTCTGTAACATTCCTTATGTCATTATAACTAAATGGCTCTGTATAATTTTCATAAGGCTTGGATTTGAGGTATAGCAAGCAAGTTGCAGTATATTCTACAGTATTAAGAAGTGAAGGACAGACGCAACAAACTCTGTGAATCAAAGGCTGTGCCAAAGCTTTAAGTTGCAGTACGGCTTATAAATCAGAGTTAGCCATAAGCTCTACTGCTATGTAACCTTAGCTGCTGCTCGGTGGACAATGGAGTGTCGGAGAGCCAGTCTATCGATGTCTCTGGAATAGCCTCCTCCAATGACGGTGGCCACAGGGATGCCCTTCTTAACAACAGATTTCAGCACATATAGGTCCCTCTCAAAAAGACCTGCATGCGAAGGCACAAGAACTGTTCAATATCATAAAACATTCATTATGACCTTTAATGTACTGCTGGTATATGTGGAGCAAGGCTCTGAGTCACAAGAGCGGTTTACCTTGATCGGTCAGCCGAAGTCTCCCAAGCTCATCTTCCCAGTGAGGATCAACACCGGCATCATACAGCACCAAGTCAGGTCGAAATGAGTCCAGCAACCAGGGTAGATGTGCCTGTACTGTTAAAGCAATTCTGTTAGCCCTGCCATAATTTTTATGGCTTTATGGCTTAACTCCCAGAAAGGCTTTAGAAATCCATATCCGTTTCAGACAACAGTGCATTTCCATGAGCCTATTTCACAGTATTGTATGCCATTTTTACACGCCTTGCATAAGTATATATCATCACTGTCATAACATCTTAAATGGTAACCTCACTTTGGGGGGCAAAACGTTCTCAATATAAACACACGTTAAAGGGGGATTCCACTGCATGTTCACAATTTCAGCATAATTCAGCCATTGAAATGTAAGTAAAGTAATTCTGAGTTGTTTGATTGAAATGTGCCTTTCTGAAGAAACTTACAGACTCTTGCTTTGTTTGTAATGGTGGTGATAGGAATCAGGGGTCACAGTGTCTACAGTGTAAATATAGGCATTTTATTTAGTATCCAAAACAACCAGGGAACCTACATGTGTCTTCTGGATGTTTATATATGATCTTGGTAATGACAAAATAGTGGTGAATCTGAAATATATATATATATATATAATTATAATTATTTTGCCATAGACTCACTACATGTACCTCTCCACCATGAAAGTATTTTTCAAAAACATATTTTAGGCTAAATCCTTAACATAAAATTATCATAAAACAGTGTCTCAGGCATCAAGCAGCATGTTCATAACCATTGTAAAACAGCTTTCTCTGAGGTTGTTTTTTGAGGCATTAAACACAAATCTTATTGATTTCATTATGCAGAAAATGTTTAAGATTGGTGGAATTCCCCTTTAATGTACCAAGATTTTATTCCATGGACATGTGCACTATTTGGATGATTCCATGAGTGAAGTGCCATTTGGGTCCAACAGATATTACTTTTACAAATAAATATGTAAAGTCAAAAGACATTTTAAACATTGTTAAAGTCTCCTCACAACAAACTTCTGAGATAAATGACTCAGAACATTAATAAAACCTATATACAACACTAAGAAAACAGTATTTGCCCAGCCCACTATAACTATGCCTTACATTCAAATTTAATAATTAAAATACTTCAAAAATCATATTATTTTTGCATTAATGGGTTAATTCATTTAATATCTTGTGCTCTGAACATCCTTTTTTCATGAATTATTTATTATCTCTTAAGAAGAAAAGGTATCTTCTCTCATTCCTTTTTCTTAATTACAAAGTGATATTAACACTGTTACCCAACCGATAGACTGAAATGAACTTATTCATAAAAAATAGTAAATCATTAGAATGTCCTTTAACGTACTCATGCCTTTAGTAGGGATGCTAGCTAACCACATTTTGTGCATTTGCTAATTCAATGTTCAAAACTTAATCCTGTTCTTATCAGCACTTATTTAAGCCGCTTTCAACAAGAAACCTTCTATGGTTCCTATATATATATATATATATATATATATATATATATATATATATATACATATACATATACACATACACATATACATATATATATATATATATAT